CAAATAATGATCACTAAAGAAAAATATAAAACTAGAAATTATAAGAATTAATAAGTACCAATCACTTAAGTGTAAATCTAAATCCTGGCTCTACAATCAATCCTTTTATATATTTCAAATATTCTTTGATCATTAACAATTTTTGGCCCCATCTTACTAAGGAAAATTTGGAAGCTTTCTCTGCCAATTTTTTAGATCCAAAACAGTGTAGCTGGGCCAGGGAGACAGCTCAGTGGTCTAAGTGCCTGCCTGGCAAGCACAAGTATCTGGGTTTGATCCCTGGTAGAACATGCCATGCTGGCCTTGGAACCTCCACCTCCTGGGCAGGCCAACATAATCGGGTGTAGTGGTGCACACCTGTAATCCCAGTGCTGGGGAGGCACAGACAGCAGGATCACTAGGAGTCTGAGCTGTGTAGTGAGACCCTTTTAAAAAAAAAAATGTGTAGCTAATAGGATATTGAATGAAGGGAATCAGTTAAGCCCTGTGATGAAGGAATTTCTATTTATTTTTTTTAAAGAAAGAAGATGTTTATTTTGGTTCACAATTGGTAGTTTCAAATCTGTAGCTGGCATGGAAGAGAAGAGCTGCTCTTGGCATGGCAGATAGGAAGCAGAGGACATGTATGAAATCAGTCAGCATGCTTGGCCTGGGAAGTGCTATCTTTCCAGATGACAGTTAATTTACCAGGTATTCACGAATGTGGAATGTGCAATATTATCTGCAAGGTTAGTTATCCCTGAAAAGTTTTCCAAAAACGTTTTGTTATAACAGGCTTACACTTAGATTATCTTTTTTTGTAAGAACAGAACCTTTACTAAAATATTCTATAACACTGGACATTCAGTTAAATGTCTTAGGTTTTAACACATTCACTTTAAACATTGAATCCTTTCAAGTTTAGAATGCATTAAGACTGCTATTGAAAATAAAAATCTTGAAAAATAAGAAACATTTCTAGATGAAATTAAAACATAGAAATAAAATTAAGAGCAAATAAAGAATGAGTTCATATTGGTTATGTGACTCTTATAAAAATTTATATTAGCTACTAAAATGAAATATAACTGGCTAGAAAAATAGATAAAATGTTCAGCTTCTATTAAAATTGAGGACTTGCATATCCTAGGAATATGTTCTTAATAAGAAAAAAACCTCTAAGTTTAGATGGTCTGCTTGTTACTGTATATATTTTCTAGTCGTGCATTTTAAATTTTTGGGGGGATGTCACCTAGAGAGGGTCACCTTTTTTCACACTGAAGATCAAGTTATCAGCAAAGTACAAAATGCTAATTAAAAATTTCTAGTTCAGTGCCAGGCACACATGGTTCTTTTAATGAATCAGATTATCTCAACTTTGTAAGGATTAATTAGGTGCTTGTAGAAGTTCCTTTACATTTCAGAACACTATGCCACCAGATAACTAAGTGGCAGCCGTGTAAACTCAAAGAGCTAATAGAAGCTCAGGAAGTCCATTGTACTTAATTCCACCCGAAGAGACTGAAAATTCCTGATTAACTGCAACATTAAAATATTATCATATATTTTAATTTAAATATTAATTAGAGGTTAGTGTTGACTAAAGTTTGTGTGAGGACTGGTTATAAATACTATTGTGGAAAAAGGATGTTAAAATATTTTTTTTTTAATTTATTTGAGAGAGAGAGAGAGAGAGAGAGAGAGAGAGAGAGAGAGAGAG